ATGTCACAAATATGTATGTAAAAGATATCAAAAATTCAAATAGTATCATTGTGCCCACACTCAAGCCGAGTACAATGAGCTATGTCTGAGATGTTGTATCCTAAATTTGTAGGAGATACATTCAGCTCGAAGCTATGCAAAAAATATTGCCATTTACCTCATACTCTATTGAGACACAGCACAGGGAAAATCGGATTCACATGTAATGCTTGAAAACGTTACAGCGAAAATAAATTAAGTTAAATTCAATGTGATTTCATAAGAGTTCGAAATGAACAAATTATGTGACACCCGACCCTACCACTCCATACACAATGTAAACTATACCCCCGAAACATCCTTTCACTCACGATTTCACCAGTGCATTCTATTTGACTTCAAGAGAAATTGAAATAAACAAATTATATGACAACGCACTTCATTATAATTTCATCCTCTAGTTCAGCACTGATTAAATAAACTACCTCGTCTTCATGCCAACTTCATACCCACACATCATTCTACAGGTTACTTGTTTTATTATGATTAAAGTTAGATCTGCATCAAATTCAATTAACCAATGTTTATGTTGTATGTATTAGCTTTTTCTCACCAAATCAAGGGTCATGATTAAATATAGACATATATACTGAATAAATATTAAAAATAACAACTCCCAAAGAATAACAACAACAACTTGTTAGGCAGCATTGAAACAATGTAACAACAATTTAAACTGCCATGTCAGATGTCGTCAGTGAGCATGTAAAGAAATATTTGAAATATATTTACGTTTAAAAAACAATAATGCACATAATAACCATGTGCGACTTATTGTTCTGGTTGTACGTGTATTTCTGTTACATGCACACACACTCGTGTAACCTGTATTTTGTATTTATGCAATTTACTTCAATCATTGTACTGTGTATCACACTAGATTGCTGAATATTTTGGTCTCATGTTTACTGTGTTTACTGCTTACGTAGATTACGGCCGATAACGAGGGATTTATATGACTTAAAACCCAACGCCTAAAATACAGTGTACGAAAGCGCTGACCTTGGAATGTGTAGTATTTGTTTTATATGTACTTCTTGAACATGTGTCTATCAACAACAACAACAATTTATTAACTCATAACAACCTACTGAAGGAGGTTAAAGGTTACAACAACAAAATTACAGAAAAAAAATAATCAAATTACAATGGCTAATAGTTTAAAGACAACCAAAAACAGACTAATCACATGTCTTTACTGTGAGTTCGAAAATATACATTGCGATTTATACTTGGTACAGTAAATAGAACAGTGGTATTTGACTTGTGAAAACGAGAGGAGGGTACGTTTTTACAATGGCCCTCACAACACTCCTACACCACGGCATACAGTCGGTTACAAACATATTAGGAAGTCAGTTGTCAATTATTTGTGTACCAGACCAATATGCGAAATTCTCCATAATATGTAATTTTTCCTGAAAATATTTACGCTCAATTGGTTAATTGGATCTTGTGCTGATCAAAGCAGTTTAAACATCAAACTTTAATAATCATAATAAAATGACGATCGGTGATCGGTGCGCACCCTTTTTTTCGTAACCCCGCCCTCAGCGTCGGAACACCATAAACATTGGTTGATTGAATCTGGTGCTGAACAAAGCAGTTTAAACATCTAACTTTAATCATAATAAAATGACGATCGGTGCCCAGCCTTTTTTTTCGTAACCCCGTCCTCAGCGTCTGAACAACATAATCATTAGTTAATTGGATCTGGTGCTGATCAAAGCAGTTTAAACATTAAACTTTAATCATAATAAAATGACGATCGGTGATCGGTGCCAGCCTTTGTTTTCGTAACCCCGCCCTCAGCGTCGAAAAGTAGGATAGGGAACCACACTGAATCGCCATTTATTTCGTTTACACCGTTGTATAAAGGTAGGTTACGTTATTCGGACATTCTATAAAATGCTTTCTAGTTCCATGACATTTTAGCTATCTGTAAGTACTAGTAAACAGGTCATGTGGATGTTAGATTGTAAAACGACCATGGCAAGCCATTAACTCAGAAACAATGACACTGGCAGAACACTACTATTCACCCTTGGGCAAGGTGTAGTACCTGTCAACCTTGGGTGCCAACTTCCCACATAATTTTGGTTGACGTCAGTCCGGGTATACGGTTATAGAAACCTTGCACTCAACCTCACATGTGAGGTATTACCTGATGAAGGCAACGTTTGCGTGTATTTAAATATGTATATATTTGTCCTGGGTAAGATATCAAACTACATCCGGTTGTGGAGTCTATGGAGTCTATGGTCACCCATGGGCAAGGTGCCAACTTCCCACATAACAAGTTTGGTTGACGTCAGTAAAGGTACACGGTCGTAAAATTCCTGCACAAACAGATTCGCATAGGTGGAAAATTTTTCATGTAAATATGTATATATACGTTTCAGTTTTCCTTAGCATTTGGAGGGGGTCGTAACCTCTTGTAGTGAGAACCAGTGTGACTGGTTATCAGTCATCATCCGTTAATGTAATTTCGTTTTACTTATCCGTAAATCAAAAATCAATATTCCATCAATACAATCAAAGTTTGTTGACTTGCGAGGAGATAAATTAAAGTAACAAAGGTTGCACAACGCTATGTATTTCTATGACATAGGACATGACCAGGATAACACTGAATAGTCCACATGCAAAATAAGTGTACACAATGAACTCAAATTTTAAGTTTACATGCACCCGACCTACACACACCCAGATTATACACCAACGAAAGATTATTATGTCAATTTTTAACCATTTATGATGTGGAGTTCAAAGGTGGCCACATACATACATTTATTAAAATAGAGTAATAAATGGCATAAACACATTAGATAACAAGGTATATCTTTATATTTTTACATTAAATATTCAATTTATTGGAATAAAAAGTTGTAAAAATAGAAAATGTTTCAGACAACATCACTATTACAATAATAATAGGTGAGTCAAATCTTTATTTACACCCGTTTGTTGTAATTTGCATATGTAAAAAAGACTTAAAAATAAAACAAAATATTAATAGTATCTTCATTCCAAGATTTGTAGGAGGAGATACATTTAGCATTAAGGTATTCACAAATCACAAATTTGCCTGTTGCTATGACAACTGTGGGCCATAATTTATATTTTACCACCTAACTAGAATGAGTGAACTTTTTTATTTTCGTTTGTACGTAGTTTTTGACACTGAGCTATAAATAATTGCAGGAACTGCATTCAAATGCTCACAATAAGTTTTATTACAAAATTATCTTGCTATTATGACAACTCGTAGTCAGGTATGCAGATAACTCTCACAGTTATGGTGAAAGGTATTATTAGTTTTAGGAAAATCAAAAATTGTTACAAGCCACAAATGTAGAACGTTATATTGTTCTTGTGATTGGCAGAAACCTAACTCAATGCAAAGAAAGCCTTACTGTTAACAAAGTCTACGGCTTGAAATATTTCTTTTACTCAACATTTCTGATGCTAGGTGTTATCCCTATGTTAGATCTTTTCCAGCTACGATCTTATGGTGAGCAAGTACTTGCACTGAAACATGGGAAAATCATCTAGATTTGGATTTTACACACAGGCCTTATAGCTAGTTGTTTGACGTTGTCTTTGAAGGATGGTAGTCACATATCTTTCTTTTTAGCTCTTTGTATTCTCATCATGTTGAGATCAGTGTGATAGTTCTTGTGCTGACATACAGATCAAATATGAGGTGTTGACATGCTGCGATTGTAGTCTCTAGTTGTTCAGATTTTCCTGATTTCCCAAGGCTTACACTACTTTCATACTTTCAGTTGTATTTTGCGAATATTTATTTTTTTCCTATTCTAAAAAGAAATGATGTGCTGACGTGCTGTATGTTAGTGAATATACTACTGAACATATTTGGCAGAAATTACTAGACAACGTACTACTGTAACATCATTTGCTGGACAATGAACAGTATTATATTTGTTGCCATCTAACATTCTCTAAAATACACACACTACTTTGTTTCCAATGACTGTATTTGTTTCATGAGGACAGTATTAACACGTGTATTTCCTCATTGAACTATTTCATGAAATAAGGCAGTAGGTACTGTTCCAACTGAACAACCCAAGGCAGATTCATCTGTAACATCGTCATTGCAAGCCGCCAGAGTGAGTGCTATACGAAATACTATCTCGGGTCCTATTGTTACTTTCATACTTTCATACTCTTGTTCTTAACTTTTAGATATATCCGTAAATATTAATTAATATTAATTTTATGGTTTTTTTTTTTACAAAATATTTCCTTCGCTGCTTACAAGCACCTTTGGGTTTCAGTAGAGATTATTGAAACCTATTTGTAGCCCGCAATCCTGTTGACATATCCATCATAACGTCAGGGTGGCTGTCTGTATCAAATGGGTGTGTCATGCTGTTTGCCACTTCTTCTATTCATGAATGTTGTATATTTTCTCATAATGTGTCGAGTGATGGTCTCAGAAGTCTATCTCAGATTCAAGGCCTTTCTTGCACATACAGATTCAAAAAAGCTACTCAATGAATAGTGTCAGCAATGGTGGAACTACTTTTAAATATGCTTGTTTACTAACTTCATTTGGTGTTGGGTAACAATCGGAAAATATAGCAGAGTTAAATATGCAACAAAAAACTCAATATTTTCAATTCCAGGTTAAATGTATGCGTTGCTCTCATGGCATCTCCAATTGTTATTTTACTATTCAGCATAATATTTGTGCTTTCCTTAACTACGTTGTGCTTGTACAACAATTGCATGACCATAATGTTTCAATACCAATATACTGCAGCATCCGAAAATAGCAATAATGGTTATTTATAGACATTTTTGTGATATTTATATTCCGAAAGTGAAAATACAGAACTTACTTTTGCTATATTTTGCCTAAAATACAGAGCAATATTTGTTATTATTCTGTTATTAATTCTTACCGCTCATTTTTGAATTACAGATTAAATATGGCGACCAGCACCTATGAATGTACTTTAACGCCGGAATCACTGGAGGTAGCCAAACGCGAACTTAACGAAGATCCAGAAACCCGATTACAAAAAGTGCAGGAATTGCGGGAGTTATTCAAAACAAGAGCTGACATCAAATTTCGTTCAGACGATGAATTTCTACTGAGGTTCCTGAGGAATAAGAAATTTAACGTTGATAAAGCATTTAAGATGATGGTACACCATTACAAGGCCCGACGTGATTATCCCAAAATATTCAACAACTTCAAGCCTTCTTCAGTAAAGTATGTTTTTGATGCGAATCAGCAAATGATTTGCCCCGGAAAGGACAGGGAAGGGCGGACAGTTCTTCTTGCTAAGATGGGCAAGTTATGTTTTTATATATTCTATGATTCATGCATGACATTTGGTAGCGATCACAATAAAATGTCGATGCCACAGGCAGAGTTTAAATTACGGGGCTTTATCAAATAACACTACAATAAAGATTTTTGTTTAAGATATGGTGATTTTGTTTCGTTTTTATACAAAAATTAAAGGTATTAAAGGTATTGGTGGTGGATGAGTTGTTGAACACACTACACAATTTGTCATATCAATGTGTTGTGATGTAATGTCATGTCGAAAACGGAAAAAATCATTGTAGTACCCACTGCCCAAAATTATATATAGATATATATTTTGAGAACATTCTCATATTTATGCACGGGATTTATATTGAAAAGAGATTGAAACTATACCCATATTTCAATTGCAATATGCTATAAAACGAAAACGTTCTGCACGCAATGGGTGAATGCAGTAAACAAGTGCTTGAGCGTTTATCTTTCAGAATGTGTAGTCGCATAATATTTGCATATTTATTTGTCGTTTGCGTCATCCGTTGAAGGAAAAAAAATCATATGTCCACCAGCAGCTGTATTGACCTTATATAAATTACAGGCATATAACATTTAACCAAGCTATATAGTATCCAAACTTCATAGATATTAATGTTGAATGTATTCATGTTCAGCGCCCATCTATTATCCAAGACGAAACATTTAAGCGTGGAAAACAAGGACCATAAATGGACACCAACTCCTAATTATGGCCTCTTTATTTAAAAATTACATTAAAGAAACATATATTATAAAATGTTATGTTACAATATGTTGTTTGAATAATCGATAACCTTATTCAATTATACACATTTTGTAAGAAAAATCAACTTGCTTGATGTCTTGACAATGTTAAATTTACTACCACATCACAAAAAGAAAAATGTTATTCAGGAACTTAGTAGTCAAGACAAAGTGAAAGTGAATAAATAATCAAGAAAATGTATGAACTAATACATTTTGACAATTAGACATTTCTAGTCATATAACATAGACTCTTCATGTATAAATCACACTTGTATTTCAATTGTCTACGTGGCATCACATATCTCAGGTAAATGAAGTACATTATTATGATACTTGTTCATATATCTTTTGATAGATGAAATAGAACCAGGTGCCATGCCATTCCACGACATGATTAAATCATGGTTGATGATTTCGGAAATACTTCTATTAGATGAAAACGTACAAGTGAATGGATTAGTGAGTGTTGTAGATCACAGTGGTATGACAAGAAAGCATCTCCGTTATGGTACTCCATCAAATATGAGGATGTTAATTGATGTGTTTGAGGCAAGTAATTGTACATGACACATCACGTTTGATTAATGCAAATGATCACGTGGACATACTGGACATAATATGTCCATAATCACAATATAATAATAAGCAATGGCTGTCATCGAATATATTTCTGCGTTCTTCTTAACATACATACACATTTTTTTTTCAGAATTCAACACCAATACGAGTAAATTCGGAACATCTTTTGCGACAACCGGACATATTTGATATTTTCTTTTCTGTGGTGAAACCTTTGTTGACGGAGAAGATGAAATCAAGGGTTCGTTAAAACCATATTACAGCCATATTATTCATGCGCATGCGTATTGTTATGGTCTAACAAACTCAACAGTTGAATAATTACAAACGCTATTTCGCATTTCTGCATCACATATATCAGTAGGTGTATATCTGATTATTATAGTATGAATTAATCTACGTTGTTTTCATAATTACAGATACATTTTCACGGAGAGGAATTCGGTACGTTACACGAGTACGTTCCATCTGCCATACTACCCAGTGAATTTGGTGGACAGTTGGAAAAATTTGGTAATTCTGAATTTGTAGATAAGATACTGGCAGCAGAAGATTATTTTATAGAGAATAGTCAGTACGGATTTCTTAAGGCAGATGAGATTTTAGGAGGTGAATCTACTGCAAATGACCCAACGACAGGAATCACAGGGAGTTTTAAGAAATTGGACGTGAACTAAGAAGCCCCTGTTCACACAATCCACAATAAATATCTAGGATATTACATAGTGTTTACCGATCTTTATTTATCTGTTGACAAAGCAAGTCTTTGTTTTAATCTTCCCTGATTGGTCTTCGATTTATTCAGGAAATATGAATAATCAGATTAACAAACATAAAAGACAAATTGAGATACATATGTTTTGAAATGGGCGTTATCTGTTTGACATTTCAAATAGCTTCAAGAGATGTATTCTGTAATGTATTTATAATTAGATAATTTTGTATATACTTTGTTCTAATATAAGAAGTATTTAATAATTAAACATGCTTAATTATATTCATAACCACCTGGTTGCTACTTTGTTACATGAGACAAAACATGTGATTTCCTTGTCATCCTAGGAACAATTTAAACTTAAACTTTCCTGACAACCTAAACGCAGAGGAGAACGGTTAATTTGCATGATCAATCTACATTTTGCCGATAGTTAGTGTGACTATAACTGTCACATAAACAAATTGATCATACAAATATTATGAATAATATTCATAATATAACCACTATACATCAATATGAATATTGTTTTGCATCTACACTTGTGGTAGACAATTTTAACAGCAAATACATATTCTTGTTTACGAAATTCTGTCTAATATGGAGAGTATATTTATTATCTTTACTTAATTGCCATGGATCCAGGACGTGTAATACAGAATAAACGAAATACGCATGCGTGTACCAGCAATGAATTAACATCGTACTCGACAAAAACGGTCTTTTCCCTGGAAGCAAACGTTGCAAATAACAAAGAATCTAGGTGAACTGCTTGGAACAAAGTAACTTCTGAGTAAATTTTGAATGAAAACTCGCCGCTATCGAATGTTACAAAATAGTCACGGGTCAAAACGTAGTAGGGAGAAACCCCAACCGCCATAATTTATGAATATGTATCGATGTATATAAATATGTATAGATTTATTGGGGTTTGACTGCAGTATGTTCCTCAATGTTTCTCTGCAGTGTACAGTAACTGTGTCCTTATAATATAAAGAATTATCAAATCTATTACGTCAAATCCTACTACAATACTTCCAGTTTGCTATGACGGTATTTAACCTGTTAAGAAAGCATTAACAGCTCGTGCAATGAAACCGTGCCATGGCTCTCCTAGATTCAGTTGTAAATTGGGCAATGGGTTTTTTAGAATTCCGTGTTTATATACCGTAACTGGGTTATATATGAGACAAGCCGGTAGGCTGGTTGGCAATCCCCTCCGCTCATAAAACATGCGTCGGTTTATAATTAAAACTGGCAATGAGCAGTCAGTCAGTCAGTCAGTCAGAAGTCAATTTTGCTGTTACCAACATTATATTCACGCAAGTTGATCATTGACCTATACATCGATGACAAAGTTTTAACATTTTATTTCCGCAATATTCCGTATTCGTATTCGTATTCGTTTTAGTATTATTATTAGTCTTGGTATTATTCATATTATCCTACCTGTCCTGACTATTGTTGGGAAGGTCGGGTGTGTTGTGTTCCAGGTAAGTAGTTGAATTATTGTTAACTTAAATTGTATATGTGAATTGCGTTGGCATTCAAAAATAATTTTCAATCACTAAGTGTGCAGAAAAAAATGAGTTTTCTGCGTGACAGGTAAGATGTGTAGCTTGAGGTATATAATCTTTCAAACGCTGATATTGATGGTTGTAATTTTGTTGTGTGGAATAACTACATAACATTTCTTCGTTTTTTTATTTAAATATAGCAATATAGAGGGCATTTTACATTACATGTGTTTCATCAACAATTCTGAGTTAATGACTTGCCATGATGGTTTTACGATCCAACATCGACATCACATGACCTATGATAGCTAAAATATCATGGAACTCGAAAGCATTTTATAGACTGTCCGAATAACTTACCTTTATACAACGGTGTGAACGAAAAAAATGGCGATTCAGTGTGGTTCCCTATCCAATTTCCCGACGCTGAGGGCGGGGTTACAAAAACAAAGGCTGGGCACCGATCGTAATTTTATTATGATTACTAAAGTTAGATGATTAAACTGCTTCAGCACCAGATCCAAATGTTTATGTTGTATGTATTAGCTTTTTCTCGCCAAATCAAGGGGCCCTGATTAAATATAGGCATAGACACAATAAATATTAAAAATAACAAATCCCGAAGAATAAACTATGTCATTTTGAGCGATTAATATGACAGGACGCCATTGCCGTGCTCCGACGTTTGCGGAACTTATTGTTCTACGTTAATAGCAACTCTACAGTGCACTACGTAAAACGTTCCAACAACAACTTGTTAGACAGTATTGAAACAATGTAACAACAATTTAAACTGCTAGTCAGATGTCGTCAGTGAGCATGTAAAGAAATATTTGAAATATATTTACGTTTAAAAAACACACATGCACTTGGTTGTACGTGTATTACACGCGACTATAACGTGTTTTATCACATCTCACTTTTGTTACGCATGCTGTGATTGGTTGAGACTCGGTCACATGACATTGAATAAAAATGGATATTACATGGTATATTGCCCGCCAAGTGGATA